TGTTTGATGACGTCACTAATCGCGAAGGCCCTTATGTGATAAAGCATATTTTGTGACTAGTGACATCATCAAACACTTAGTTTTAGTGGAATTGCAGGAACCACAGACGTCTGATTGAAAATTGGAATGCTGTATATTGATGCTATCAGTGTTCCTGATACACATAAAAAAATTAGAAAACCTCTTTACAATCCCTTTAAAGCACATGACTTAAAGGCCCCTGTGTAGTTTCTCATTGTATTTGTTAAGTTGTTTACGGAAGCATATCTTTGTTAACGAACATAATTGATTCTGGCATCTGAAAGAGTCTTGGAACCCATTCAGGCTAGCGCCAGTGACCATCTACTATAGAATCATGTAGTATTAATGGCACTGAATCTCAAGGGAAATTAAAATCCTGCGATTCTCTATTAAGTATTTACAAGACAAGCTAAGATAATAAAAATAGACATTACTTATTGCGGCCATTGTTTATAAAAGACATTTACAAGGTGGAAAAGCTTTCACTTCTTTCAATGGTCTTTAACACCAAAGACTTTTCAGTTCAAATGCCTAAAATTATCAAGCTAACGCCTAAAATTATCAAGCTAATGCCTAAAGTTTTCCAGTTTATGCCTACAGTTTTTTAAGTTTAGCTGTAGTTTTTTTAAATGGTTTTTAACACCAAAGATTTTTCAGTTCAAGGCTACAATTTTCAGTCAATATTTCAGTTCAAATGCCTAAAATTATCAAGCTAACGCCTAAAATTATCAAGCTAATGCCTAAAATTATCAAGCTAATGCCTAAAGTTTTTCAGTTTATGCCTACAGTTTTTTTCAGTTTAGGCTGTTTTTTTTTTCAAAATGGTTTTTAACACCAAAGAGCTTACTATTAGCATTTTTGAAAGTAACATCATCATCAAACACTTAGTTTTCGTGGAATTACAGGAACCACAGTCATCTGATTGAATATTAGAATGGTACAAATTGATGCTATCAGTGTCCCTGATACACATAAAAAAATTTAGAAAACCTCCCTTCAAAACACTTAGTTTTAGTGGAATTGCAGGAACCACAGACATCTGCTTGAAAATTAGAATGGTGTAAATTGATGCTATCAGTGTCCCTGTTACGCATAAAAATTTTAGAAAACCTCTCTTCAAAACACTTAGTTTTAGTGGAATTGCAGGAACCACAGACATCTGCTTGAAAATTAGAATGGTGTAAATTGATGCTATCAGTGTCCCTGTTACACATAAAAAAATTTAGAAAACCTCCCTTCAAAACACATAGTTTTAGTGGAATTACAGGAACCACAGACATCTGATTGAAAATTAGAATGGTGTAAATTGATGCTATCAGTGTCCCTGATACACATACAAAATTTACAAAACCTCTTTACAATCCCTTTAATGCACCATCAGTTGTTTACTAAACACCATTGAAATAATCACCCAATGAAATTTGTTTTCATTCAAAACAAATCTACAAGTTAACACTATCCCAATTAAAATAACAAATAGAAAAATAATTTCACAATCATTCTTGAGGAAACCCACGCAAACATCTGTGACTTGTGAACTTTAAAACTGTTAGCGCCAAGATGGAATCCTTCCTGCTACTATCAAAGAGTTGAGTAATAAAACAAGTTTTCAGCAACCATGAGACTTTAAAGGGACATTTTCGCCACTTTCAGAGGTTGATTTGGGTCTTGAATATACATAAATATTTTCTTTTTAACCTTTAAAATTTTGACAGTGAGCTGTGACACTATTACTGATTGGCTTATTATTTTCTGGGGGGACATTACATACCCACAGCCCATTGGGCTCCCCCCCATCCCCCTCTGATTACCCCCACTGCATCCTACAGTAAATGCTAATTGTTGGAAGTATGAAACTGCTATTTGGCCAGTACTGGGGCACAAACTATTTTCTGGGGGACAATACATTACCCACAGCCCAGTGAGCTGTGAACACTATTACTGATTGGCTTAGCTAAGAAATTCCAGTTTCTAAAACTAAGGTATGATTGGTTGAACCTTTTCGGAGGTTGATTTGGGTCTTGAATATACGTAAATATTTTCTTTTTAACCTTCAAACGTGGATAATTCTGGACACACATGGATTTGAACGCTCAAATTTCGACAGTGAGCTGTGAACACTATTACTGATTGGCTTAGCTAAAAAATTCCTGTTTCTAAGACTAAGATACGATTGGTTGAACCTTTCCCATAAGGTGTACCTAATTTTACAGTAGTATTCAGGAAGTGGTTGTAGCAGCCAACTGGACTGGAGGTACAAACTAACTTAATAGGGGGGACAACCTTTGGGATTTAGATTCCAAAATGTGGAATTACATGGGCACTAGCCTGCCATGAGATGTCCTTCCTCAGAAAGGAAGTGGGGGGTACAAGGGGTACAATTAAGGGCCCAAACTATTTTTCTGGGGGGACAAATACATACCCCCCGGCCTCCTGTACCCCTACTGGCATCGCTACAGTATATGAGTACACTGACTTTTTTGCCAGTAGTGGGGCACAAATTATTTTTCTGGGGGGACATTACATACCCACAGCCCATTTCCCCCCTCCATCCCCCTCTGATGTACCCCCACTGGCATCGCTACAGTAAATGGCTTATTGGAAGTATGAAAACTGCTATTTTGCCAGTAGTGGGGCACAAACTGTTTTTCTGGGGGACAATACATACCCACAGACCATTTCCCCACCCCCCTCTCCTGTACCCCCACCGTCGCTGCTACAGTATATCAGGTAATTGGAAGACAAATGTTTTCTAAATGTCATTATCTACTTGAGAGTAAAATAAGAAACAATGTACCGTTAGAACACTGACTGATGAACAAGTGTTTATTTTGATTCGTGGCCAACACTACTACAATACCAACCTAATTACAGAACACACTTTTAAACGCAGGGCGTTAGATCAGTTTACTTTAACACTCATTTCATTCATTATCTTCTCATTTCTATTTATTCTGAACACTTTTTTTCCACATCTATTCGTAATGCTCATTTTTGTACTCTTGATGTTCATTTTTCTATTCTTGATGTTCATTTTTCTATTCTTGATGTTCAATTTTCTATTCTTGGTGTTCATTTTTCTATTCTTGATGTTCTAATTTCTATTCTTAATGTTCAATTTTCTATTTTTGATGTTCAATGTTCAGATCTATTCTTCATGTTCAATTTTGTATTCCTTGATGTTCTATTTTCTATTCTTGATGTTCAATTTTCTATTCTTGATGTTCAATTGTCTATTCTTGATGTTCAATTTTCTATTCTTGATGTTCTTTTTCATATCTATTCTCAATGCTTAATTTTCAGATCTATTCTTAATGCTTAATTATCAGATCTATTCTCAATGCTGAATTTTCGGATCTATTCTTAATGCTTAATTTTCGGATCTATTCTTAATGCTTAAACTTCACAACTATTCTTAATCCTCAAACTTCACAACTATTCTTAATTCTTAAACTTCACAACTATTCTTAATGCTTAAACTTCACAACTATTCTTAATGCTTAAACTCCACAACTATTCTTAATGCTTAAATTTCATACCTATTCTTAATTCTCAAATTTTATATCTATTCTTAAAGCTAAATTTTCAGATCTATTCTCAAGGCAGGTTGTTGGTTTGTCGGTTAAGGTGGTTTGATAAACACCGGTTAATGAACCAATATAAAAGTTAAACATGGCAATAAATCTGTCAAGCTATTCACAGTGGTGCTTGGTCTATAATAATCACTAGCAATACATAATAATAATAATAATAATAATAATCAATACTGACTGGGCCACAGCTGCTGTCTGTGAGTAAAACTACATTTTTAAGGCACTGGATGTTATAATATTCGATTTACAGGACTGAAGTATAATGGGATTTTAGTTGGGTTTTTTTTTCGTTCCTATGGTAACAGTTTTAATGACCTACACCTGATGCAAGATATTGACTGTTTGATGCAAGATATTGCCTGCTTGATTCAAAATATTTGAACGGCTAAAAGCAAAATATTGCTTGCTTGGAGTAAAATATTGGCTTCTGGAGCAAAATATTACAACAGCTAAAAGCAACGTATTGCTCGCTTGATGCAAAATATTGGAACGGCTAAAAGCAACGTATTGCTCGCTTGATGTAAAATATTGGAACGGCTAAAAGCAACGTATTGCTCGCTTGATGCAAAATATTGGCACAGCTAAAAGCAAAATATTGGCTGCCTGATGCAAAATATTGGAACAGCTAAAAGCAAAATATTGGCTGCCTGATGCAAAATATTGGCACAGCTAAAAGCCTTATGCAAAATCTTGGTTCCATGAATGCCTGATGCAAAATCTTGCCTGCCTGATGCAAAATATTGCCTGCCTGATGCAAAATATTAGCACGGCTAAAAAGCCTGATGCAAAATCTTGGCTCCCTACATCAAAATATTAACAGGTTGTGGCCTCAAGCTTGACACATGTTTTATTGATGTTGATGTTTACCTTGCATTAAAGGCTTCGATTTTTTCCTAATTACAACCAATTTACAATGTATGTATTGAAGATTGCTTTAGTCTACTGCTGCCATTTTGGAAAACAGATTTACTTAGTGTTTAAGTTAGTGTTTTAGTGTTAAAATTAGTGTTTGGATTCTTTTTATGGATTATCTATATGGACTAATGTATGATTTTTCAGTGTTGAAGTTTTCAACTTATATGAAACTGTGTATCAGGGACACTGATAGCATCAATTAGCACCATTCCAATTTTCAATCAGACGTCTGTGGTTCCTGCAATTCCACTAAAACTAAGTGTTTTACAATTGCATACACAAAACACTTGGTTATAATGGAATTGCAGGAATCACAGACGTCTGATTGAAAATTGGAATGGTGCAGGTTGATGTTATCAGTGTCCCTGATACACATAAAAAATTTACAAAACCTCTTTACAATCCCTAAATACTTAAACCTAAAAAAAAATGTATAAGTACAAAAGGTCAGCAAGTTAAAACTTTTTAATTTTCGTTTTATTTCTATTTGGTACCTTGTTGATATTATTTTTCTATCTATTTTCAGATTTTGATGCATTCCAAAGATTAAACAGATGGTCGTTAGCAGAATTTTATACCTCGCAGCAAACTTAACAGTTCCGCACAAAATTAAATTGGTGATTAACATTGGAGAAAAATGAAACATAAAAAACGTATTTCACAAAATGAGCGGAAGAAATTCTGACAGAAATTTCTTGGATTTTCGGACATTTCTGATGGGCAGACATTACATTTTGTGAAAAATTCCAATATGGAGGACTTTGAGCAGACGGTGTTCAAAATGGATGTGTAAAATTTGGTAATGGATGATAAAATCTGACATGATAGTGTAAGAACTACAACATTAGTGAATTGTGAAAAAACTGCATGCAAAGAGTGTTTTTAAAAAGTGTTCATGACAAAATCATTTCTTAAGCCAAGCAAAACACGGCAAAGCTTACGGGCGTAAAATTTTAGAAATTTATTTTTGGAAAGATTGGGTTTCCATAGTAACGCGAAAATGTCGAATATGGAATTCTCGAGTAATATGTCTGATGCAGACAATCGTGTGATACTGAACGTAGGGGGCATCCGGCACGAAACTTATAAGGCCACCCTGAAGAAAATTCCAGCTACTCGCTTATCCAGGCTGACCGAGGCGTTAGCCAACTACGACCCCGTGTTAAACGAATATTTTTTCGACAGACATCCGGGCGTGTTCGCTCAAATTCTCAATTATTATCGTTCAGGGAAACTTCACTACCCGACAGACGTGTGTGGACCTCTTTTCGAGGAGGAGTTAGAATTCTGGGGACTGGACTCCAACCAGGTTGAACCGTGTTGCTGGATGACTTACACCAGCCATCGAGATACACAAGATGTCCTCACCATACTCGACCGCCTTGATTTGGACACTGATAAACCCACGGAAGAGGATATCATGAAAAAGTTTGGTCTAGAGGACGAATATAAATCGGGAGAATTAAATTGTTGGCAACGAATTCAACCAAAAATTTGGGCTTTATTCGATGAGCCTTATTCATCTACTGGAGCAAAGGTAACGTATGATTTTTAACTCTAATGACAGGAGAGTCATATTTGAAATTCAAAACCTAAAGTGGTTTTCTAAATTTTTTTATGTGTATCAGGGAGACTGACAGCATCAATTTGCACCATTCCAATTTTCAATCAGACGACTTTGGGTCTTGCAAATTCACAAAGAGATGTCCAAAAGACTTAGGATACCCCATCAAGTTAAAAGTTGACGAACCCCACCACAAGAGCTGTCAAAAAGACAAAAATTGTGATTATTCCTGCTTTTGATAAAATTTCTTTGAAAACACCGCCAAAAGTCATCAGAGCTGACCTCAAACCAACGAACCCCACCACAAGAGCCGTCCAAAAGACATAATTTGTGATTATCTCCATTGTAACGTTCAATCTATCTTGTTGATTTGCTGATAAATAAAATGATGGCAGCAGAGGGAGATATTAAGATGTTATGGAAGAGTTTGATATATATTGATTGCAACTGGATAACTGGTAATTAGGTTTCCATCATCGCTAGGGTCAAAAGGTTACTTGGTCTTGTTGTCATGTAAGCTGGTTACAGTCAGCCAGAAAAACAAATCGCGGTGTATCTGGGAATCCAAGCACCAGTGTAATCCAAAACTTATTACTAAAACTGGTTTCCCTTGTCAAACATGCAGGGGTTGTGCGTTTTCACCATGTCAAGCTATTACGAACTTTGTCTTATACCTTGACTACAATAGTCACCTTTCTAGTATCATGGAAGTTTGTAAATGCAGTGATTTGGTTTGATTGTAGGTTAGCGAATTCAGCCAATCAGAGCTCTCAACAGAAAGTCTGTCAACAATAAGCCATCTATCTTGTCAAGGGCTTTGATTGGCTCTATTTGCTGCTGTACAAGCCAATCAAATTCCAGCATTAGGTGATACAAGAAAGGTCAAGGCATTAATGCAGTTTGTAAAAGCTTGACATTATGAAGATGGGGCAAAATTCCTTCATTGTACACTGCATGATGTTGCCAGTCCTCATTTGCCAAATCACTTGCAGAAATGTAGGACAATAAACCGAGGCCCCGTGTGCTACAGGCTGTACACATTAAAGATCCCTTGACAGTTGGAAATAGAAAAAGAGTAGGCTTATGCCGCCGTCCTGGCAAAATTTCCCTCATTGCACACTGCATGGCTTTACCTGTCATCAGTAGTTCAATCAAAGTAGGACTTTTCAACTAGGAAAATCTTCCAAAAAAGCAGTCAAATCATTTTTTGACGCATTTGGCAAATAAAGTCCACAAAAAAAACTCTGAAAGAAATCTATCCATGAAGATGTCTGGAGGCTTCTTGTGACCTCTTTCCTACTTCCTTTTTGCGCAGTAGAAAAAATCTATGCTTTCAATGGCCGTCATCCAAAGACCTTGAGGGAACCGTCAAATGCTTTGGCCTTGGAAGTCATGGAAAGGTTATTGGATATAGTCCTGAGGCTCCAGGTGGAACTTTTTTTATCTGAAGGCAAATGACCCATAAAAGTAAGAATTGCAAAGTAGCACAATTTTGAATCTTGAAGCTCAATTCTAAGGACCAACTGTAGCACAATCAGAGCTTAAATTTGAAGAACAAATGGTGGTCGCTGGTTCTAAACTCGGTTAGCTAGTGAAAATCTGGTAACTTGGAATATCTCCTCTTTCCTAATTATTCCAGTCGACCCAGCTGTAAATGGGTACAGATAATCCAGGAAAAGATGGTAGAAAGGACCCTCGTGAACCTAAGTTGTTTCTTACAAAAATCAGTGTCCTGAAATGAACGCCTCAGCCTGTGCTTGTTGGTTTCAACCTCTATCATAAATTTGCTTAATTAATCCATAACTAACAGATCAACTTTCCCATGGCGTATTCCAAGTATCACATCAGCATTTTGGACATACTTTCAAATCATTACGCCAAATATTTAACGAAAAACTACACCGTCTGCTAAAATCAAGGATGCATTAAATTAACCAAAGGGAAAACTTGAATCCTGCAGCATTTTTGTCCAAACAAAAAAGGCAAAATATGTCCTATTTTGGACTTTGTTTGAAATCACTACTCCAAATATTTAACGAAAAACTACGCCGTCTGCTGAATATCAAGAGTGCATTAAATTAACCAATGGGAAAACTCGAATCCTGCAGCAATTTTGTCACCTAAAAAATGGACAAAATATGTTCTATTTAAGACTTAGTTTAAAATCACTACGCCAAATATTTAACGAAAAACTACACCGTCTGCTGAATATCAAGGGTGTGATAAATTAACCAATAGAAAAACTCAAGTTTTGTCGGTCGAATTTCAGGTTGATTTATTATCACTGCGAAACAAGTATGACCTTACTTCCTGTGGTCAGAGACAAATGTTGATATTGATTCTTATTGGTTGTTAATCAAATAACGCTTGTTTCCTTGATTAGATTTTCTCTTCATTTTATCAATTGACATAATCAACATGACAGTACAGTCGAAACTTTCAGTCATTTTGTCGATGAAAAAGGTCTGGGACACAAATGCCATTGGCTTGCTGTTTTTTGGCTGATTTGTTTGGTCAGGCATAAATTGATCTGATTGTATCTCTCTTTTCAAAACACCTGATGGTACTTCTCTTTGGAGGAAACCATAACTATACAATTTTTACTCCTGCTTTTGCCATACTTTGAACGAGATTTAGATTTGCAGAATTGCCTTGCTTACTCTTTTCAAAACAC